TCCAGATGTACTGTTAACCTTGAATAGTAACTTCTTCTCTGGAGCACTGATTTCTCAGGCGATCAGCATTTTCTGTAAACATAGGCCTTCAGAAACAGGCCAATATGGCAGTAAATCCTGACATATAGGCATTGGCAACATCTCTGAAAATATGATTCCACATTTTCTCATAGTATGAAATCCAGAATAAGGGCAGGCATGGCTTTCTGCTCAACCAGTGGATAAGGAGGACTTGTGTCCTCCGCTGCACCCATTAACAAGACAAGGAAGGATGCGAGAAAATCCGTTGATTTGTATGGGAGAGCTTAAGGTGATTAAAGGTAGCTCTCAACTGGGGCGGGCTGTGGAGGCAAATAACCTAGAACTAAATACTTTCCAGTCTGCAATCTTGAGGCTGTTTTCACAGCTGACGCGGAGTGCCTCTTTTGCTTGTAAATATGGGAAAGAGAGAGTGGGCTGTAAACACAATCTTAGAGTGCAGCTACATTGTAGAATGAATGCAGTTTGATACCACTTTAACTGCTGTAGCGCAATGATACGAGATCATGGAAGCTGTAGTTCTACAAAACCTTTTAGTCTTCTCTACCAAAAAATGCTGGTGCTGCCCCAAGGTACAAATCCCAGGATTCTATAGTATTGAGCCATGGAAGTTAATGTATGTCCAGAGGAGGGTAACTTAAATGATCAAGGGTCTTGAGAACAAGCCCTATGAGGAGCAGCTTAAAGAGCTGGGCATGTTTAGACTGAAGAAGAGAAGACTGAGAGGAAAAATGATGGCCATGTATAAACGTGAGAAGAAGTCATAGGGAGGAGGGAGCAAGCTTGTTTTCTGCTGCCCTGAAGACTAGGATGTGGAACAATGGCTTCAAACTATGAGAAAGGAGATTCCACTTGAACATTACAAAGAACTTCCTATCTGTGAGAGCTGTTCAGCATTGGAACTCTCTGCCCCGGAGTGTGGTGGAGGTTCTTTTGGAGGCTTTTAAATAGAGGCTGGGTGGCCATCTGTCAGGGATGCTTTGAATGCGATTTTCCTGCTTCTTGGCAGGGGGTTGGACTGCGTGGCCCATGAGGTCTCTTCCAACTCTGTGATTCTATGTGGGAAACCATTCATTCTACAGTGTTAATGTAAGTCCTGAGGTGAGATACAGTTTGTGCCTAGTGCAGGGTTCAACAAGGTTTGCATTTGTGTGTGTGGAGCAGGTATGGTTAATGTCTTGGTCCTTCCTGCTCCAGTCTTTTCATGCTTACGGTTTCTTCAAGTGCCTTTATGCTCAAAACATGAGGGTGAAATCATTCTTGCCTCCCATGTGACCTATTGCTGTGAGGATTGTCATCATCTGGATATTTACTTGTGATGAACCTCTGGGGACCGGGGTTTGATTCTCACTCGGCCATTGAAACTCACTGGGTGATCTTAGGCAAGTCTCATACTTTCGGATGCAAAAATCTCAGGCCTTAGGGTTGTCATAAGTCGGAAAGCACCTGAAGGCACACAGTAACAAAGCCCTGCTGATCTTTGCTGCCTGTGGTTCTTGTGTTCATTTTAATACAGGTCAGTTTTCTGGGTCATGATTATGTCACTCTCAGTCTAAGTATGCTTCCCCTCCATGTGTCAAGTATCAATTTATTTACTGCCTCCATTCTTCTTCTAAAAGAAAAGCAGTGTCTTGATTAGTATACACATATTTTGTGGAGTGAGCAGCAGCTAATGGCTTGGAGTTGATCATTTCCTAATGGAGTTGGACACCTTCTTTCTATGCTTTCTGGTCATTGCCAGAAGAGCTAGGAAATGAAATGCTCATTACAGGTAGACTATATTGGTGGCTTTATGTGTCTCCTCTGTATTGAGCAGTTATTGCTACCGTTGTTGTGTGCCTTCAGGTTGTTTCTGACTTATGTTGCCCTCAGGCAGATATATCATGGGGTGTTCTTGGTAGGATTTGTTCAGAGAGAGAGTTTTACTTGTCTTCTTCAGAGGCTGAGCGAGAGGGATTTCCTCAAGATTATCCAGTTGGTTTCTAGGGCTAAGCAGGGATTTCAACCCTGATCTCCAGAATCCTAATCCAACACTCAAACCACTACACCATGTTTGTTCCATCTCCTCCTCTTCTTCCTCTTGGTGTCATGCCTTCCTCCAGAAATTGTTGGACTGCAGTTCCCACCAACTCTATCCAATGTGATGAGGAATGTAGATAGTTGAGTAATAAAGTCATGTTTTGTTCTCTTGCATAATAATGATAGGTCCTAGGTCTATATCCAGTTGTTAATCTCAAGTACAGTAGGCCCACTGATCTCAGAGAACATGCTAAATTAACTTTTATGTAAATTCCATTGATTCAATGGGTCTACTCTCATAGGGACTAACAGTGCATTTAGAGCCATGTTTTAACTTGTATATTATGTATTTTTAAAATTTAGTATTTTCCTATTTGTAGTAACGCACACTTGACTGCTTTGAGATTATATTTGTGATTTTCCCCACCTCTGTTGCAGGACAAGTGTTGGATAACTGGAGCCGAGCTCCATGGAGCTTCTCATCTATAACTGGCTTCTTTTGGGGAATAGCAGACTTTGTCGTTACGTTGTAAGTAGAATTATTATCCTAATTGACCGCTTTGAGTCCCCCCAGGGTTGAGAAAGGCAGTATATCAATACTGTAGATAAATAAATAAATAAATAAACTCTTTATTTGCATAGCTTTCTTTTTAAGAGCCACCTGAATCTTGTGTACTGCCAGGAATGGGAGAGTCAATACATATATGTGCAGATGTGACTCGGTTAACAAAGCTCCTCTGCTTTTTGATGACCCACTTTTTTACCATTTTGAATTATTAGCATCTAGCCCACTCTTTCATGATTAAAACTGAATTAAAATGAAACCAAATTAAAATGGCATCATTACATGGGCTTCCACATTTCGATGATTTCCAGTGTTTCACATTGCTCTGGTTCCTAACATGTCGCATAAGTGTTAAAATTCCAATCTGAGATTAAAATGGGTGTAGATAATCTTTCTAAAGCTGAAATGCCTGGAGCTGAGAAGCTTTAGCAGACATCAATATGTTGCCCAGAAACTTCATCTTGGTGACTGATTGATCATGGTTCAATATGGTGGGTTTCAGGGAACTGGCATGGTATAATGGTTTGAATATTGGATTAAGACTCTAGGACAGGGGATCTCAAACTTTTTAAACAGAGGGCCAGGTTGCAGTCCCTCAAACTGTTGGAGGACCGGATTATAATTTCAAAAAAACATGAATGAATTCCTATGCACACTGCACATATCTTATTTGTAGTGCAAAAAAAGCTTGAACACAATACAATAATTAAAATGAAGAACAGTTTCAACAAATATAAACCTATTAGTATTTCAATGGGAAGTGCTTTTGGCTGATGAGATTGGATTGTTGTTGTTGTTGTTGTTGTGTGCTTTCAAGTCTAGACTTAGGTTGACCCTGAGCAAGGGCCAGGTAAATGACCTTGGAGGGCTGTATCTGGCCCTCGGGCCTTAGTTTGAGGACCCCTGCTCTAGGAGACCAAGTTTCAAATCCCTACTCAGCTATGGAAGCCCACTGGGTGACCTTGGGCAAGTCAAAATCTCTTTGCCTTATAGGAGGGCAATCAGCAACCCCTTCTGAATTGAAACTTGACAAGAAAGGTCTATAGTAAGGTTGGCACTGGTCGAAGTTTACTTGTAGACACAGAAGATTTGGTGGACCTAAAACATCCAAGACATTAAAGATATAGAGAATTTAAAATAGGTTTTACTTCAAGAATAAATAATTCTGGTTAATTTTCAGTTCAGTATATATAAATGAGCAAAAAAGTGGGCCAACTTTTTAAAAAAACATTCAGTTACAAGACAACAAATATTTAATACAAATTTTACAATTTATAGTTCACTACTTTTGGCCCCCTGGTGGCGCAGTGGAGTAAACCACTGAGATGCTAAACTTGCTGACCAAAAGGTTGGCAGTTCAAATCCGGGGAGCAGGGTGAGCTCCCATTGTTAGCCCAATTCCTGCCAACCTAGCAGTCCGAAAACATGCAAATGTGATTAGATCAATAAGTACAGCTTCTGCGGGAAGGTAACAACGCTCCATGCAGTCATGCCAGCCTCATGACCTAGGAGTTGTCTTTGAACAATGCCTGCTCTTTAGCTTAGAAATGGAGATGAGCACCACCAGAATCAGACATGACTAGTTTAAATGTCAGGGGAAACTTTTTCCTTGCTGTTGCTGAATGGTGTTTGCGCCTCACTTAATATGTTGCTGAATATTGCATACAATTCTAGCAATGCTAAACTATTTGGAGGGTTTTGTTTTGTTTGAGGTTTTGTTTCGGCTTTCAGTAGTGTTCTTTTTATTAGTTTCCAGGGCATTATTCATCCAGACCTGACGAGAGGGTCTACATCTTCTTCTACTTCAAGATACGCTGATGAAAAAGGGTACAGTCTTTTCCCTTTAATTTAGATGGTACACATTATGCAAAATCCTGCTGTGTTAGCAAGCAGGAATAGTGTGTGGGTTTCTCTTCTAACTGAAATATAATTACATCGAATGGAAAGACTTTAGAACCTGTTCTTATCCAAACTCAGTAAGTAGGTTTTACTCAAGATGTGGAATGAGAGAAGGACTTGTCCTCTCATACGGGACTTGTGAATGAAAATGCCTATACAAATCAACCTTAACCTCAGCCAATCATATCCTATCACAGTAGATCGATCGCTTATGGAAGTTTTGCTTTATGTTGAAAATTTTGAATATGAATTGAAATGGCACATCAGTGCTGCATTAGACGCTAAACTTWTGTGCAAGTTTAGTAAAATTAAACTCTTCCAAACTCMGTTCAATGAGAAGGACTTTTATTTGAGGTCTTCCTGGTAAGAAGTTTTCTCCATTATGTTATAAACTGATTCTAGTGATCTGAATGTGTCTCATCCTCATTATATGCTTCAAAAGTATTTTCTGAATATTATGAGTCCTGAGAATATTTTTTTCAAGTCTTAAAGGAGGACTTTCTTATTAGTTATAGATTTCTAGAATCTAATTTTAAAATAGTTACTGCGTGAAAGTCTATGGGATACCTCAATTATTCTCTTTGAGCAAATTATCAGGATTTTCTTGCTTTTTAGCATTTTGTTAATGAGATCAGAAAGCTTAAATGGATTTCTTTTAGAGTCAATGATAAACCTGAGATAATTGATTGTGGGCTAATATTTCATGCTGTTGTTGTTCACTTATTAAGCAAACTGTTGAGAGGTATATATAATTCAGCATTTGTTAAATTATGACGGAAAAATGGAGTCACTAGAGGAGCTTATGAAAATTCTCTCTTTCTTTTTAGACCTCCAGGATTACCTCGTCGAAGAATGGGCCGAATAAGTCATTTTGGTGGTCCAAGCCCCCCACCAATGGCCGGAGGTGGATGAGGAAGGTAATCTGTGGCCTCATGCTTCTTATTTGCACCATCAAAACAATTCCATAGTTGGTTTGCCTAAAAAATAATAAATGATTTTTTTCCCTTTTACTTGAAGTGAATGAAAAAGTCAAAACATTTGTGACTACAAATGTAAATTCAAAATTTTATTGTGGCTTTTCATGTTCACACCTTATTTATCACCCAAGGAGTGAAGTCTTCAACATATAAAATATATTTTCAGATTAGGAAAAAATGATTTGTGTGTGGAAAAATAATTGAATGTTTAGGTTTATCAGGATTTTTCCTTCCCTTTCAGTAGTTCCCAACTTTTGGGCCTCCAGGTGTTTTGGACTTCACCTCCCACAGTTTCTAAGCTGAGATTTCTGGGAGTTGAATAATAATAATAATAATAATAATAATAATAATATAAACTTTATTTATACCCCGCTACCATCTTCCCAAAGGAGACTCAAGGCAGCTAACACGGGGCCAAGTCCAAAAATAACAATCCAGCAAAACAAAATTCAAAGAAACAAAATAGCATCAAAATAAACACAAGAAATGACAAAATAAAATAAACAGTCTCAAAATAACATGATAGAGAAATGAAACACGGAGCGGGCCAAATGTGCGAAGAATAAAATTGATACAATTGGTAAAGCCCTGGGTGAGATAAGAAAAATGTGTGTCTGGGGGATAATGTGTTTCTAAGGGAAGAGAAGCTAAAAAGGGGCAGAAAGAGGTAGGCATTCAAACATCTGGTGGCCCAAAGCTTGGGAACCAAATACGGAATATGTGCAATTGACATTTGGAATGGCCCAGTTTATGTACTTGGATCATGTGATTTTAATATTTTTATTAGGTGTTTTAATCTTTATATTTCATGTTTTATGTCTTTTTATTGTATCTTATGATGAATTGTCCCATTGATTTTATACTTTGTTATGGCGTTGATTGTAATTTGGTGTACGTTTGTAAGGCATCGAATTTTGCCACAATTTCTGTGTAAACCACTTTGAGAAAAGCAGTTTTCTCACAGGTGTGAGAAAAGCAGTATATAAATATTGTAAATAAATAAACCACTGGACACCTCCTTCAAAGAGGAGGCAGCCAGACATACACATTCCAAGACAGGAAGGACCTGCCAGATGAGTTTTCAGTAAAATAAGTTGAGAAGCTCCATAAAAACGAGAGAATAACCTGACATTTACTTATAATGTGTTAGTTGGTGTAGCAGTATGGTAGTGTTTTCTTCATGCAACCTGGATATTGTGAGTTATGTTCAAAATACATACTTATACACCAGGCTAGATATTCTAATGCATTGGCAAAGATACTAAGGGCATTGTTTCTCCTAGTACTAGTTTCTTTGGTTGTAGCCAATGTAAGAACTATCATGATGACAATTGTCAAAAAATTAATCAGATTTTCCTTCCCTTTAGGTAAATGCCTCCTTCAAAAAGGAGGCAGCCAGACATACACATTTGCAAGATGGGAATGACCTGCTGAGGGATGAACTGATGGGGGCCTGTGGGTTGCAATTGTGTTGTCTGAAAGATTCCCTGCTCTGCCAATTGGCAGAACCATGACGTTGTCCTGGGAATTCCTTGTTCTGGGATCCAGGGCAACTGAAAAGCAGTTCTGTTAAATTAAATGCATCTCTGTACTGCCTTTTTGTATAGCTTGTGATTATTTTGTTGTCGTTGTAGAGTTCCTGGGAAAATATATGGCTTTGCAAAACTCTGGCTTTGTGTCTTTATCTTAAAACGGAAAATTACTGGTATTTTAAAGGCTCACACATCATGGACATGAAGATATATTTTATAAAGAGAACTTTAATATACATTAAATATGGGAGAGTGAATAAAAAAGATCCATTATGTTCTCTTGAGTATTTATTTATATTATTTTAATTTATTGTATGTATAGACTTCCTTTCTTCCAAGATGGGATTCAAGCATAGCTAGCAAGGAATCAGGCCAGATTCCTTTTATCTCTGTTTGATAGGCTGACTCTTAATAGAAATATTCCCTCAGATGTAATACTTTTAAATTTTACTGTTTTCTTCTGTCAAAAGGCCTGAGATATTTAAAAATCATAGAGTTGGAGGAGACTTCATGGACCATCTACTCCAACCCACTGCCAAGAAGCAGGAATATTGCATTCAAATCACCCCTGACAGATGGCCATCCAGCCTCTGTTTAAAAGCTTCCAAAGAAGGACCCTCCACCACACTCCGGGACAGAGAGTTCCACTGCTGAACAGTTCTCACAGTCAAGAAGTTCTTCCTAATGTTCAGATGGGATCTTGTTTCTTGTAATTTGAAGCCATTGTTTATTTATTTATTTATTTATTTGCTTTACTTCTATACCGCCTTTCTCAGCCGAAATGGCGACTCAAGGCGGTTTACACAGTAAAGATCATCACAACAATATCAAAAAGACAATTAAAAGCATATTATACAAATTACACCAGAACAAACAATCTGGCTCAACAGAGGAGTGGTGTGCTCCCTGTGTGCCGCTCCTGTTAGCAACCTGGCTGCCGAACGTTGGACCATTTGAAGCTTCCGGACAGTCTTCAAGGGCAACCCCACCTAGAGAGCGTTGCAGTAGTCTAAGCGGGATGTAACCAGAGCGTGGACTACCGTGGCCAAGTCAGACTTCCCAAGATACGGGCGTAGCTGGCGCACGAGTTTTAACTGTGCGAATGCTTCCCTGGTCACCGCCGAGACCTGGGCTTCCAGGCTCAGCGTTGAGTCCAGGGTCACACCCAAACTGCGAACCTGCGTCTTCAGGGGGAGTGCGACCCCATCCAACACAGGCTGTAACCCTATGCCCTGTTCGGCCTTGACTGACCAGGAGTACCTCTGTCTTGTCTGGATTCAATTTCAATTTGTTCGCCCTCATCCAGACCGTCACAGCGGCCAAGCACCGGTTCAGGACCTGGACAGCCTCCTTAGTAGCAGGTGGAAAGGAGTGACAGAGTTGGACATCATCCGCGTACAGATTGTTCCAAGTCCTAGTCTCTAGGACAGCAGAAAACAAGCTTGCTCCCTCCTCCCTATGACTTCCCCTCACATATTTATACATGGCTATCATGTCTCCTCTCAGCCTTCTCTTCTTCGGGCTAAACATGCCCAGCTCTTTAAGCTGCTCCTCATAAGACTTGTTCTCCAGACCCTTGATCATTTTAGTTGCCCTCCTCTGGAAACATTCCAGCTTGTCAACATCTCTCTTCAATTGTGGTGCCCAGAATTGGACACAGTATATTGGACACACTTCTGTGTAATGACATGGGAAAACATAGGAAGAGATTTATTACCCCTCCACTTTACACACTGGCCCATTAGTTGTCTGTAGGAAACACACCAGAGCTGCTTCGGTTTACTTGTAATGCTTGGCAAGGGAGGAAGTTATAGGAAAAGAGGAAGAATGAAAGACTTCCAGGTTCAGTCGAAGGCTTTCACGGCTGGAATCACTGGGTTGCTGTGAGTTTTCCGCGCTGTATGGCCATGTTCCAGAAGCATTCTCTCTGGACGTTTCACCTGCATCTATGGCAGGCATCCTCAGAGGTTGCGAGGTCTATTGGAAACTCGGAAAATGGGGTTTATATATCTGGAATGTCCACAGTGGGAGAAAGAACTCTATTCTGTTGGAGGTAGGCGTGAATGTTTCAATTGACCATTGATTAGCACTGAATGGCCTAGCAGTTTGCAAGGTGTGGTTTGTTACTGCCTGGGGGAATTCTTTGTTGAGAGGTGATTAGCTGTCCCTGATTGTTTCTTGTAAATACACAAATGTCCTGTTGCTATAAACTTCAGCGAAAGTATCAATTCAATTAATCATGAGAATACTCAATTAATTCGTATAGGACACAAGTGTGGGGAACAAGTACGATGGGACTATTTACAGTGGTGTAACTAACATAATATTCATTTTTTCCAAATAATTAGACGGACCTTCCAAAAGCCGTGTGGACAAACTTTAACATATCCAAAATAGTCAGATGTGAGTTCAAGATGAGATCAAAAGTCTTGGGAATACTACAAGGATTCCTGGGTGTTTGTCGTCCTTGTTTCAGGAGGAGTATCTTCTTCAGGTCTCTTTCAAGGTTTCTTCAATTGTTTGAAATAATATCTTCTGAGGCTTTATAAACTGAGCTTGAAGAGGACAAAATAATAGATATGCTAACCAGCACCCAGTTGCACTATAATACATAATATACAATTTAGCAAAATAACATACATTTCTAGGTGCAAAGATTACTGCAGACGCAGACTGCAGCTAGGAAATCAAATTACTTCTTGGAAGGAGAGCAATGTCCAATCTCAATAAAATAGTGAAGAGTAGAGACATCACACTGGCAACAAAGACCCGCATAGTCAAAGCAAAGGTATTCCCCGTAGTCCCCTACGGATGTGAGAGCTGGACCATTGGGAAGGCTGAGCAAAGGAAGAGAGATGCTTTTGAACTGTGGTGTTGGAGGAAAGTGCTGAGAGTGCCTTGGACCGCCAGAAAATCCAACCAATCCATACTTCAGGAAATAAATCCCGACTGCTCACTGGAGGGAAGGATAGTAGAGGCGAAGATGAAGTACTTTGGCCACATCATGAGAAGAAAGGAAAGCTTAGAGAAGACAATGATGCTGGGGAAAATGGAAGGAAAAAGGAAGAGGGGCCGACCAAGGGCAAGATGGATGGATGGCATCCTTGAAGTGACTGGATTGACCTTGAAGGAGCTGGGGGTGGTGACGGCCAACTGGGAGCTCTGGCGTGGGCTGGTTCATGAGGTCACAAAGAGCCGGAAACGACTGAACAAATGAACAACAAAACATACTCACTTCTCATGATTAATTGAATTGCTACTTTTGCTAAAGTTTATAGCAACAGGACATTTGTGTATTTATGTTGTACTTAGAGATATCTGTGTAGTTAGACTGATTGTTTCTTGTCTGGAGTTCATCTGTTTTTGAAAGTCTATATCTGTGACATTCTACATTATATATTTGTCACATTCCACAGATATATAAACCCCATTTTCCTAGTTTCCAGCAGACCTCACAACCTCTGAGGGTGCCTGTCATAGATGCAGGTTTATTTGTTGTGTCAGAGCAACCAGTCCATTATATTACATTTCTAACAGAACAAAGCAAAACAAACAGACAAAATACAAAACTTGTGAGTTTGGTAGTTGGTTAAATGTCCTTTGACTAGTATCTGGCCACTTGGAGTGCTTCTGGTGTTGCTGCAAGAATGTCCTCCATTGTGCATGTGGCAGGGCTCAGGTTGCATTGCAGCAGGTGGTCAGTGGTTTGCTCTTCTCCACACTCGCATGTCGGATTCCACTTTGTGGCCCCATTTCTGAAGGTTGGCTCTGCATCTCGTGGTGCCAGAGCGCAGTCTGTTCAGTGCCTTCCAAGTCGCCCAGTCCTCTGTGTGCCCAGGGGGGAGTCTCTCATTTGGTATCAGCCATTGGTTGAGGTTCTGGGTTTGAGCCTGCCACTTTTGGACTCTCGCTTGCTGAGGTGTTCCAGCGAGTGTCTCTGTAGATCTTAGAAAACTATTTCTAGATTTAAGTCGTTGACGTGCTGGCTGATACCCAAACAGGATGAGCTGGAGATGTCTCTGCCTTGGTCCTTTCACTATTGGCTGCTACTTCCCGGCGGATGTCAGGTGGTGCAATACTGGCTAAGCAGTGTAATTTCTCCAGTGGTGTAGGGCGCAGACACCCCGTGATAATGCGGCATGTCTCATTAAGAGCCACATCCACTGTTTTAGTGTGGTGAAAGGTGTTCCACACTGGGCATGCATACTCAGCAGCGGAGTAGCACAGCGCAAGGGCAGATGTCTTCACTGTATCTGGTTGTGATCCCCAGGTTGTGCCAGTCAGCTTTCGTATGATATTGTTTCTGGCACCCACTTTTTGCTTGATGTTCACAGAACATCACAGAACCACATCACCACAGAACATCACCACAGAAGCGACCAGCATAGATGCAGGTGAAACGTCAGGAGAGAATGCTTCTGGAATATGGCCATACAGCCCGAAAAACTTACAGCAACCCACTTCCAAGTACCCTCAAAAGTCCTGTTCAGGTCTTGCAGGTTTAGTGCTGCGGCTTGACAACTAGGGGTGCATCTGCACCAGGCAAGGTGGAGCCATCCAGGTGTTCTGGACTTCAACTCCCACAATTCCTAGCAGCCGGGGCAGATGCATTCTCTGGCATAAGCCGGGGAAGAAGCGGAGGCCTGGCTTGTTCCTGGGGCGGCGCCCTGCCTGGCCCCGCCTTCTTCCAGGAGGAGCCTCTCCCTCCTCCTCCTCCTCTTCCTCCTCTCCGTCTGCAGGGCAACTTCCTCGCCGTCCTCGCCGCCGCCGTCCCGGGGATGACTCAAGCGGAGAAGGGGGAAGTGGCGGCGGCGGCCTCCTCCTCCTCCTCTGCGGCGGCAGCAGCGGCAGCAGCGGAGAATGGGAAGGACAAGGAGCGCGACAAGGAGAAGGAGCAGCGCGGAGGAGGAGGAGGCGGAGGATCCAAGAGGCCCATCGTCCCCGCCGCCGTCCCCGAACCCTTCCAGGAGGTCAGGCCCCTTCCGGAACACAAGAGCCCCCCTCGCCCCCAGCCCCCCCCCCCCAAACACACACACAAGCAGTAAACGTCAGAGAGCCTCTCCTCATTGGACTATTAGTATTAGTATTATTAGCAGCAGCAACCCTTGTGCAGAATGCTTGGGGCCGCCTTGT